ATGAGTTTGATACTAAAATGAGCTGGGAAAGAGAGGAGGGGAGAGGAAGGAAAGGCTGATCAGTATTTAAGGTAAGTTCAACCAACAGGGTTGGGTGGACGGGGCACTGGCATGGGAGTCATAGGCTACATCTACACTACGGGGGGGGGGTTGGATTTAAGATTCGCAAATTCAGCTACGCGAATAGCGTAGCTGAATTCGACGTATCGCAGCCGACTTACCCCACTGTAGGGACGGCGGCAAAATCAACCTCTGCGGCTTCCCGTCGACGGCGCTTACTCCCACCTCCACTGGTGGAGTAAGAGCGTCGATTCGGGGATCGATTGTCGCGTCCCGATGGGACGCGATAAATCGATCCCCGAGAGGTCGATTTCTACCCGCCGATTCAGGCGGGTAGTGTAGACCCATTCATAATAATAAAGGCCTCATCAGAAGATCTCAAAGCACTTTACCAAGGAGATCCATATCATCGTCATAAGAAAGCAACACAGGTTCTATTGACATCAATAGGAGCTGCTGGCTGCTCTGCACTAATGAAAGAAAATCGGGTCACTCATTTAGGTGCCTCCACATGGATTTCACACCCTAGCGTTAGGAGCCCAGGTTGGGAAATGTTGGCTTTGGAATACTGAAGATATCCAGGAGCTTTTGAATTTCTCAGAGAAATCTAATCAGATGTGAATATGAAAACTGACATATAGTGAAGATAACTGAAGTATCCTGGTACAGGCGTATACAGTACCATCAGTTACTGCCAGAAGACCACATACCTTTTTGCTTTCAACTCTACTCCGTCACCTACGTTTTCATACACGGAAGAAATTAAGCACATTTTAGGTTTACTTGCAATTTACACGCTGTCAAAGAGTGAAGAGAAATGAGGTGAAATACTTACTAATTTTTTTCTTTTCCGATTGACAGCACAAGATAATGAAGCCCAATCCAGATCCAGCAGCCAATGTTATTGCAATAGCAAGAGCAACAGTAGAAATTTTCAGTGCATGCTTTAGTGAAGGCATGATACCTACAATATGGACACACAAATCCAAACCATCACTCGAAAGATGAGAATAGAAGGGGCTCAGGAGGACTGAAAGCTGTTCTGTTTTCCCTGCTCTTTCTTTCTGCTTGAAGGACAGTGTAAGTGTAACACTGACAGACCCTGGTTGTCAGCAGGCAGAATTGAACCTGGGACCTCTGGAGCTTAGTGCATGAGCTAAAAGCCATATGGTTGTTAGCCAAGGCTGTAGAGCAGCTCATTAATCTTTCTGTAAGTGGTCTTGGTGCCACTAGATGGGACAGAACACCCCACCCCGAAGGTGTGTGGGTTACATAAGTACAATTTCCTTTTTGTCTGCAGTTCAGTTCAGTGTCCCAAAGACTAAAATGGGGATGAACCTTCTCGCTGGGATTTGAGATACAATGAAAAGTAAGCCCCATGGGCAGCATTCTGGTTCTATGACTAGAGCTCGTAGGCACTACAGTAATACAAATGAATAATAATTAATAAAGCAATTGTTAAACTTGGACAGCTGGTAGAGGGAGCAAAGCTTTCAAACCTATGTAGCTATGTTGAGATCTTAATGTAGAATTTCCTCTGAAGATTCCCTAAGTCCTGCCTTAGGCTGCTGAGTGTTCAGAATGAGAAATAAGCCGGAATTAATAGGATACTCTGTGAAAGAAGATGCCTGGTACTAGTGAAGGTTCTGTTATGCTGATTGTGATGATCTGAGTGTTAAGATGAAGTGCCAACCCTGATGCTTACCAGTGCCACATGTTACTTATTTCTCCAAACTTTTCCAGTTTGCCAAAAAGATTTTTTTTTAATTACCATGTCACTTGTGTCTCTAAATCACTTTGATGCTGTAGCTTTGTCAGGGTCAAAATCTGCCACTACTACTCATTAAGTCGGACCTTACTCCACAAATAGTCTGTGCTCAACTTTACAAGCCTGGGTTGCTAAAATTAGGCACCTAAATCCATATTATGGCAATAAAAAGTGGGGTTTTTAAATATACGGAACATCCGCTGCTCCCTTGGCAACCAAGGGAGCAGTGGATTCTCAGACCCACTGACAATCATAGGCGGCGAGTTATATAGGCCCGTGCTACCCATGCTCTACCAATATTTAGGAACATGAGCCCGGCTCCACCAATGTTTGGGCTTACCATACTTTGGGGGACCCTATGAGTCCAGGGCAGCCTGGGAGATTGGTGGGGGGCCTGGCACCAGCGGCAGCGAGCATCCTGGTGCTGGCAAGCAACCCGGCCCCAACCTTCCCTGCTCTGCTCCACCTTGCCAGGTCCTGCCATTGCTTGGTTGAGGGGGCAGAAGCTGGAAAGAGGTGGGTGGGGCTTGTGGTAAGGGGTGGAATAGGAGCAGGAAGGGGACAGAGCAGGGGCGGGCTGGGGCTGGGTCACTTGCTGCTGCAGGTGCCAGGCTCCCTGCTAACCCCCCAGGCCACCCTGGACCCCTGCGTCCCCCTGAAGTGCAGGGCCCCCCAAAGCACGGGTCCTGGGATGGTTGCTCTGGTCTGTCCTATGGATGGGACAGCTCTGCTTGGACCCGTTCTGGGCACCACCAAAAATTATACAAACCTGGCACCATGCTGACAATCACTTGATTTAGGTATTTAGATATGGATTTCGGGCCTAGATTCACAAAGGTATTAGTTTACTAAATCCCAGATTTAGGGGCCTAAATCCTAGTTTTAGGCTCCCTTACAGCCCACAAAACTCCCCCTGAACCCTGTAGACACTTAAATTTACTTGGCACCTACCTTTTCATGGTCAAAATACCCTGGATACCTAAGTTTCTGCCTCTGGGAACACGCACGAGTGCTGCTTCCTAGTCATCCAAGTGCCTGTCTTCCACTGCAACTCCAGTGGGATTCACGAGCCAGGGAAGTTAGGTGTTTTCCCACCTAACTCACTGTGGGGCCCAATCATGTAGGTGTGCTCTGAGGCTGCCTAACAGATTGGGTTCTGTTCAAAATCTGTCTGGAGGAAGAGATGGTGCTACCCACCTTGTAACTTTTAGCCCAGTTGTTCAATCCCCCCTCAAGCAGAAAGAGGATTTGAACAGGGCTCTCCCACCTCTGCGTGCTCTGTCATTCTCTCCTGTTGGAACTGTTCCACTGTGATTAGACATTTAGAGTCACTGGACCAGAGAGAGTGAGAGAGAATGACTGTAACTCTGGAGCCTGGTGGTTAGAGGTGACAGACCCAGGATCCACTCCCCCTGCTCCAAATAAGTCCAGGAGAGGGGTTCCCAGCTGAGAATCACAAGCAGGGCTTGGTGCCTCCCTGTAGCCTGGACTTAGGTGCTTATGTCTGTGAGAGGGGAGAGACTTAGAGGAGCCTCCTCTTGTTAGCATATTCCAGTGACTAGCTTTGGTGGCTCCCCTCCTACCGTGCTGGCTGTTGTGAATTGGATTGAGTGCACATCTCTCCCCATCCATTGTATAGGGAGATGACATGCCTAATGCAGGCTCTGTATGTGTCTCGGTGTTTTGTTCCTGTGATTTCACTAGGGGTCTAAAAGCTATGCATTGTGACGCTGAGTGTTACAACACCTCGTCCCTTTGTGAATCTAAGGATATGTCTACACTACGGGATTATTCCGATTTTATAGAAACCAGTTTTTGGCAACAGATTGTGTAAAGTCGAATGTATGCGGCCACACTAAGCTCATTAATTAGGCGGTGTGCGTCCATGTACCGGGGCTAGTGTCGATTTCTGGAGCGTTGCACTATGGGTAGCTATTCCATAGTTCCCACAGTCTCCTCCACCCATTGGAATTCTGGGTTGAGATCCCAATGCCTGATGGGGCCAAAAACATTGTCGCGGGTGGTTCTGGGTACATCCTCCCCCTCCCTCCGGGAAAGCAATGGCAGACAACCGTTTCACGCCTTTTTCCTGGGTGAACAGTGCAGACGCCATACCAAGCATGGAGCCCGCTCAGCTCAAGACAGCAGTCATGAACATTGTAAACACTTTGCGCGTTATCGTGCAGTTTATGCTGAACCAGAACCTGCAAAACCAGGTGACGAGGAGTAGGCTACGGCAGCGCGGCGACAAGAGTGATGAGGACATGGAACATGGAATTCTATCAAACCGCGGGCCCCGGTGCTTTGGAGATCATGCTGTTAATGGGGCAGGTTCATGCCATGGAACGCCGATTCTGGGCCCGGGAAACAAGCACAGACTGGTGGGACTGCATAGTGTTGCGGGTGTGGGACGATTCCCAGTGGCTGTGAAACTTTCACATGCGTAAGGGCACTTTCATGGAACTTTGTGACTTGCTTTCCCCTGCCCTGAAGCGCCAGAATACCAAGATGAGAGCAGCCCTCACAGTTGAGAAGCAAATGGCGATAGCCCTGTGGAAGCTTGCAATGCCAGACAGCTACCGGTCAGTCGGGAATCAATTTGGAGTGGGCAAATCTACTGTGGGGGCTGCTCTGATGCAAGTAGCCAAAGCAATCACTGAGCTGCTGCTACCAATGGTAGTGACTCTGGGAAACGTGCAGGTCATAGCGGATGGCTTTGCTTCAATGGGATTCCCTAACTGTGGTGGGGCGATAGATGGAACCCATATCCCTATCTTGGCACTGGAGCACCAGGGCAGCCAGTATGTAAACTGCAAGGGGTACTTTTCAATGGTGCTGCAAGCACTGGTGGATCACAAGGGACGTTTCACCAACATCAACGTGGGATAGCTGGGAAGGGTTCATGACGCTCACGTCTTCAGGAATACTACTCTGTTTAAATGGCTGCAGCAAGGGACTTACTTCCCAGACCAGAAAATAACACTTGGGGATATTGAAATGCCTATAGTTATCCTTGGGGACCCAGCCTACCCCTTAATGCCATGGCTCATGAAGCCATACACAGGCATCCTGAACAGTAGTCAGGAGCTGTTCAACTACAGGCTGAGCAAGTGCAGAATGGTGGTAGAATGTGCATTTGGACGTTTAAAAGGTCGCTGGCACACTTTACTGACTCGCTGAGACCTCAGCCAAACCAATATTCCCATTGTTATTGCTGCTTGCTGTGTGCTCCACAATCTCTGTGAGAGTAAGGGGGAGACCTTTATGGTGGGGTCGGAGGCTGAGGCAAATCGCCTGGCCGCTGATTATGCGCAGCCAGACACCAGGGCAATTAGAAGAGCACACCAGGAAGTGCTGCGCATCAGAGAAGCTTTGAAAACCAGTTTCATGACTGGCCAGGCTACCGTGTGAACATTCTGTTTGTTTCTCCTTGATGAAAACCCAGCCCCTTGATTGACTCGTTCTCTGTAAGCAACCCACCCTCCCGCTTCGATCCCAGCTTGCTTTCAAAGGAAATAAAGTCACTATC